TTTTTTTTTTTTTTTTTTATAATACAGAACAATCCCCTATCAATGTCTTCTGGAAAGGGAGAAGAGGAAAAATGATGAGAGGACCGGTAATGGAAAGGAAAGTGGCAGGTGATGAAAAAAAAAAGCATAAATTAATAGATGTTGAGTAATCTCAAATTGTTGATAATTCTTCAGCTCTTTTTTTTTTCAGCTTTTTCTGTTTCATTCTTTTTATTGTCATTTTATATAACAGTTATTTCTTATTTCTTTTCTTCTCTTTTGTCTTGTGATTTTTTCCCATTTTTTAAGCGATAAATTTTAACTACTGAAGTCTGTTTTTCTACAATTATTTATTTTTTTCTGATAGGTGTTAACAAGTGACTTTCAGTTGCAGTTTTTTTTTTATCCTTATCTTTTGATTCTTATATTGTTGTTATTAAAAAGCAAATAAAAAAAAAAGGAAATATTTGTCGAATAAACTTAATGTATCACAGTTATAAATGTTTAAAAAAAAAATGACGAAAAAAGATTGAGATGAGATGATAACGCTGAAAAAAAAATATGAAGTTAGAAGAATTGAAAAAGTAAATAATGAAATAAAACACGGGCATCAAAAGTAACCTTAATTTCACATCTCAGCAACGTACGTTTTCCACCTTCGTCCTTTGATGAGAACACATACGTTTCAGACTTATCCAATTCCTTGTCACCGAAAAACCATTTTGTTTTTGCTGGTATCACACCTAAAATTTAAAACTTTTCAGTGAGAAAAAATTGAGGAAACTATATTTCTTCTCCTCTTTTCCTTGCCCCATTACTTCTGCTTCTAAGCGAAAAAAAAGAATATAAAAGACAGAAAAAAAGCAAGAAAAGCAACCAAATTAGTGAAATAAACATTTAACTGTATAAACTCATAAATTTTTTTATTTAACATAGACAAGAAATATTTGTCTCCAAAATTTACTTTTCTTTAATGTTCGTATTTTTCTCTTTTACACAAATCCTATAAATTTCTAAATAAAATTTCGGTTGAATTAAAGTTGAACAGATGAAGAGAAGAAAGGAAAAAGAGTGTTGGAAGGGGAAAAGCAGGAGATTGAAAAACAGAAAATACCAATCTGAGAAAATTAAACATTGTCAGCAAAATTTACATGTTTTTTTATATGTATATATATGAGAAAATTCAGACAACAGAATAAAACTATTTTAAAAGTATCAAAGTTAAATGTTAGTTTTTTCAATAACCGTATTTATCGTAGTCAGGTTTTATAAAAATAGTAATTTTTCTACGTGGCAAATAAAATGTTCTTCCATTAACAATAAATTAAAATCGTTTTTCAAATTTCTTCTCACAATTTTTACAATTCACTGTAAGTTTCAAAAAAATTGAAGAAAGAAGGAACATAATAATACATAGAAAAAAAAGAAGATAAAAGAAGAAGAAACCTGTGACGATAACGTCAAGGAAAACACTTCCAGATGCTGTATCATGCGTAATTTTTGGTTCTCCGTATATCGATGGCGGTGCCATTGTTGTTTTCCTTCTCGTATTCCACTACTTTTGGTTAGATATCTATTACCTCAATTATTTACTAGTTTTCTGGTCCTCTACTGTTATTACTGCTACTGCTACTGCTGCTGTTTTGTTGCTGTTGTTGTTGCCAGTTATCAGTGATACTGCAAATAAAGCACTATATAACTGAAGTGGTCAAATAGAAGAAAATGAAAACGAAAAACTGACACCGTTTGTCACAGTTGTTTTTTCAACTTTTTTTTTTTCTTGCTAAGAATATGTAAAAAAAAAGAAACGTATTAGTTAAACAGCTATTGTCGTCCATTCAACTCATCCATACAGTCTTTGATTTTGTTCATTCAAGCGTTCTTCTCATGCAAATCAATGTGAGTTGACGAAAGAAAATCAAAAGTGTTAATCGTTCTCTTTTTTTTTGACTTACCACAATAAACCAATAAAAAAAAAGCGTTAAACGACAAACAGAAAAAAAAAAGAAATTATAGACAAAAAATGAACATTTAAGCATCAGATTTTCATCATTCCTGTTTTTTGTTCTTTTGTTCTTTTTTTTTTTGCAATTTTCTTCTGCTTTGACAAATAAATTTGAAGTTATATTTTTTTAAAAAAAAATTTTCCTCATTTTTTTCTCCTAACGTTTTTTCCTTTTTTTTTTTTTGTGTGTGTTTATGTGCTTTAATTTGTCTAAACTTTTCTTGTTTTATTTTTTCTTATTCACACTAAAAGAGTTTTACTGTCAAATAATTGTGCTTATTACTTCAGACAGCCAAACTATTCAGACAGTTTCAGTGATCTTTTTAGTTAAGCTAACATTTCAGATGCGATAAGTTTTACTGAAAA